AAAAAAAAAAAAAAAAAGAGGGAAGGGGGCGCGGAGTGAAGTTTGAAGGAAAGATGGATGGGAATCTGTAGGGGACGGAAATGGATGAGTCGCCCCAGATATCACAAGCAAGGCGGAATCGATATTGGGATGTGAAGAAAGGAAAGATGTGGGACGGCAGCGTTTGGTGAGCGAGATGGGATTTTGGAGGGTCGAAAGTTAGACACGGCAAAGACCAAGGCTACGGCGACGCATCAGAGCCATCCCACGGATCGTTGTAGGTAGGTATGTATGTCCGTAGTATGTGGTGACCTAAGCAGATGGACCAGACCAAACCGAACCAGACCAGACACACCAGACAGGATGATAGTTGTGTTTTTGGGAAAGCAGCGAGAAGAGAGGCTCGAGAAATATTAAGGTCGGCAGACGGGCTGACCAGTCAGATAGACGCAAGTCGGCAACGGAGGCTTGTAATATGCGGTCGAGGTCCTGGTCCATTGGGGCCAAGCCAAGAGGGAATGCAAAGGTAAAGAAAGGAACCAGAGCTACCACACCACAGAGGAAGAGAGAGAGAGTTGACGTATCTGACGGACCAACAAGGTGACTGACTGACTGACTACGTACTGTTGATCCGAGAAAAGGAAATGCTGGGCAAAAGCGCACCCGTGTATGTAGGTAGCATCGAACTTGCCTAGTCCCCACAGACCGTCAAAGAAGTCGACGATTTAAGTGTGGATATGCGATGTCGATTGATGAATGGGATTGGGGGGTGCGGAACACATTTCGAAGGGGAATCTTAACAGGTCGGACTGGATGGAGGATGGGAAGGGGGGGGATCGATCATTCACATTCAGATTGTATTGATTGCATACCTCTGCCTAGTAGTATTTGCCTGCTTGATACTTACCGAACCGGTATGTACTTTTTCTTTCTTTACCTCTTCTATTCCCTTTTTAATATCAAGCTGCTGCCATGAATTCTCTTTCTACTTTTATTTGTTCCCTTCCCTTTTTCCTTCTCTCTCTCTTTCTCTCCCCTGGTTGCCATGTCCCCCATTTGTGATTCCCTTGCCTGCCTCCATTTTTACCTTGCGTCGGACCTGGGTACCGCTACATGGCCGATCCAGGGACGTGGGCGAGACCCAGCTACCGATGCCACCGTCGATTTTCCTCCCACGCGTACTAGGAACAAGGGGAGGGAGGCACATTGGTACAAAGACTTTCCTGGTCCCACACCCCTTGGCGCATGTGTGGTGTCCTTGGTGCCCTGCCAAACCCCAAGTAGCTCAAGCGTTGCACCTCATTTTTGACTTCATGTTATCCCCCTCGCCCTAAATGCTAGATCTTGCCATGCAATTCACCCGATCGTGCACCAGGCAATGGCCGCCCGCCAGGTATCGAGGAAATAGCCATATGGCGGGGTCGAGTTTGAAAAACGCTATGAATTATTCTGGATGATGATGATGATGATGCAGCCGATGCCTTTTTTCTATGGGAGACACACACACACACACACACATATACTCTGGCTTGCTTCCAAAACACGCAGGACTTGTTGGCTGCTCCTCAAGCGACCGGGATGAGTAAGTAAGGCAGGCGAATCACCGAGCGACTATTGGCCCGTCTACAAACTACGTATCTCCTCTGTCTCATGGGAGTCAAATGGCTGGCTGCCTGGCTTGGTAATGTTGGGCAAAGCAGCGACTGGGAGTATCAGCAGGGCACTGCTCAGCATCACTGCGAGATTCGTGCCGTTTGCCTAAGGCGCTGCGACATATATCGCATGCATTTGCACTCACTGCAGTGTACTCACCAGTATATATGCCTGGAAGGAGGGCTCGCGAATGTGACCGATTAGATCGCGGTGTTCCCATGTACCATGCGCCCATCTTTCTCCGTGGCTGATTACCGCGCTGCCTCTCTGCTGTCCCTGGTGTGCCTCACTCATTACGTACTGAGCATAATGCCAATTATAATTCTCTGCATAGGCAGATCGCCATGGACTGCAAAGATGCATTACGCACGATCAAAATAGCGACAATAAAAATTGCGCACCTTTGGGTGGCAGGTATCCGACCAGCCAATATATCAATATCTGCAATGAACTTGATAATGATGTCAAATCATGGTAGCAATCCGTGTCGATGGACGGGCAAAATGATCCTCGCTGACGCTGACTCGGGATCGCTGGGTAGAGATGGAGGTGTCAGGTTTTGAATTTGTCGGGCTATGCCTGCCTCAATGGGGATCGCCGTCTGGTTCCCATTGTCAATCCAAAGTGGGCACGCTTCAATATGAGTGATCAGTAGGTACTTGGCGTCGGCCACCGGTGACGACCTCCAAGTTAGTACATACCTACACTCATCATTAAGGTAGTGAGTATATAACAACAACCATCATCTACCTGCTCAGTCACGCATGATGGCGTTTCTGGAGATTTATCAAATCATTAAAAAAGATTAAGGCATAAGATATATCGGTAGAACACTGGATGCATATATTTTTCTTTTTTTCCCATGTCACAGCACCACCAGCGGACCGAAGTCATGGTGCCGACGGCCAGCCTCATCAATCGTACATTAGTCGTCTGGTCCCTTTATGCTGCGGAAACCCGCTACATATTTTCTTCTCTGGAAAAAGTCCGTCCGGAGCTCAGACCGGCATCTGCAGCCCAGCACACCCCCCAGCCCAGCCCTCTGCTCTGTCGAGCTTTGAGACACGGTGGAAGTAACCGAAACGGATGGCACTTTGCACGCAGGAGCCCCCACCTTTCTTCCCTCTTCTCTCTCCCTCTCTCTTCTCCCTCTCTCCAAAATGGGGTCGCACACAGCCAACTTGACAGGACGGCAAGGGTCAAAAGGCAAGCTCCACATATTGAATCAATGAGGGTTGGTCGTGCGTGCTAGCCAGCAGCAATGTCACGTCCTGTGGTGTAGAGATTACCAGCCCATCATGACCAGCAGCAGCCCGTGACTTGTCCTGCAACATGTCTTCATTCTTGCGTGACCTTTGTATGCATTCGTACCGCCCATCACCTCTTGGTGCACTGAATGATTTCTAGTAATGCCGGCATATAGAAGTGGGTGGAATCTCAGATAGGCGACTCACGGTTTTGCGTCAGAAACCGGCACGTAATCTCCAGACACTTTCACCAAGGCGCCTTTTTTTTTTTTTTGCCTTGAAGGTAGTACTTCAATCTGGGCGAGCCTGGGTTCCCGCTCGGACAACTATGCAATACGTATATAGCTACGTAGGTCGGCAGCATGTCCTTTATTAATCCAGAGGCGTAAGCAAATAGATCCCACACTGACGTGTTGAATGGTGCTGTCTCCCTTTGGATGTCCGCCCGTATTTCCTCGCTCATATCAAAAGGTCAAGACCGTCGCACTTGCAATACCAAATGCGCGAGCGCGAACCGCCCACTTGGTGTCGCCCATGCCGCTCACTAGTAGTCATGATTTCAACTGGCTTTGGGTCTTTTTTTTTTTTTTTTTTTTTTTTTTGCAATCAGTCCCAATTGCAAGATATACCGCCTGGCGTCACGAATCTGGCTGAATTGAACATCTTGCATTCTTACAAATGGAAAGACATGGACAAGTAGTCTTCTCCAACAGAAGATTATGAGTTGCTATGACAGAAAGGCCAAACGTCTACCACGTATCTTTATCCCTTTCACCCATGTGCGTTCTTTACACTGGGGGATGGGTTATTTGGAACGGCGCTGGCCACGGTTACTTGCTACAAGAAGGAGTTTGGCCGCCGTACTGTGCCTACACCCAGATGGGCTTTCACCTGTGTGCTTCCAAACTTTGCTAGCATGACGTACAGAATCTAGCTTGACTTGGCAGTCCGTCAATTGATACCGATCAACCCAAGATGGACGTGTGGCGGGTTGCTCTTCCATGCAATTTGAACTGGAATGATTGCGACGATTGAACTCTGCAGCTTCACTGACTGTACACAAGAGCATGGCCTCGACCTGGCCACGTCGTGTTGGGGCCAAGCAAAAGGTCGTGGCATGCCGTTACAAGCCTGCAAGAAGAAGAGAAAGGCCTTGGAAAGCGTTGAAGTCGGACTAAAGATGAGAGAGCAACGTCCACGGTCCAGGGCTGATTTCACCGACGTGGCTTGGCACGACCCTGGCGCTCCAAAGCTCGGACCTAGTGCGGGCGGGGCGTCCCAAGTCAAATAAAATAAAAGAGTCTGGCAAACGGGGGAATTTGGAGGGAGGGGGGTTCGTTCCTGTATGTACGACAGAGTATGTGCCTAACGCTGCTGCACCTTATTAAGTTGGTGTGGCGGTCAGGTGCTTCCGCGTCAGAAATGCCCCTCCATCGGACACGCTCGTGTCGCGTCACGCCAGGGATCAATACATTAGACAAAAAAAGCTGGCTTGTATGCATCTGCCTGATCCATGCCTTGTACATTATTCTAAATCCACGATTGGATAATGGCCATGTAGAGACAGAAACTCTCGTTTTTCTTTTGCTCAAGTGCTTGTAACCTCACTCACTACTTCAATGGATGCCCGCGTTCGAATCGTCATCATCTGGCAGCCAAATGACTGCTTAAGCTAAGGCGACGATGGAGCAGCGTCAGGGCATATTACATCAGACCACCATACAGGCAGCCAAGGCGCCACGAAATACGTATCATACCACCAGCGTCGCTGGCCATAAGAGAGCTTCCTCGGAAGCGGTTCCTCAGCGTACTGCGCCCGGTCAAGCAGCCCAACGGACCGACTTTCACCGAGCGCTGTCTCTCGGTCGGAACGTGCCCAAGTTGATTGCCAGTGCAATTACCTTGACCGATCACGGGCAGCAGCAGCTTTCCGAGATATCGGAATACTCTCAGCGAAGAGTAATCTCTGCCACGCCTACTTCAACGGTTGATAGGTCGTTGCTTTTGTCATTTTCTAGATATGGCCTGCCAGCTGCACTAGTCAGCAATTTTGCTGCACTGGGCATCAAAGAAATATATCCATGGCAGAAACACTGCCTCATGGGTCCCGGTCTCCTGGACGGGTCCAAGAACCTGGTTTACACCGCGCCCACCGGCGGTGGAAAGTCCCTAGTTGCTGATGTGCTGATGCTGAAACGAGTCTTGGAGGACCAAAATGCCAAAGCACTCTTAATCTTGCCGTATGTGGCCCTCGTTCAGGAAAAGGTTCGATGGCTGCGCAAGGTTGTGCAAAATATCCATCGTAAACCCCCAGGTGCAGACAAGGAGACCAAGGAACCAGGACTTTGGCGGCGACGAGCTGATGAAGACACTGTGCGAATTGTTGGTTTCTTTGGCGGCGGAAAAATAAGGGCTACTTGGGCAGATTTTGACATTGCGGTTTGCACTTTTGAAAAGGTACCATCATGGCTTGGGAAACATGTCGAACATGCCAGACCACTAATGACTTTTAGGCCAATACTCTCATCAACACGGCCATCGATGACTGCTCCATATCGAAACTACGGGCTGTTGTGTTGGACGAATTACACATGGTTGATGACGACCATCGAGGGTATCTTCTTGAGCTTACAGCCACAAAACTTCTAAGCCTTGGACATGACGTCCAGATAATTGGCATGAGTGCGACGTTACCTGTAAGTCAGCACACATATACCATGACTGGCTGTTTCTCAGTAGATCTAATCGAGTTTCAGAATGTTGTCGTCCTTGCGGAATGGCTAAATGCCCACAGCTATCAGACAATGTACCGTCCTGTGCCAATAAATGAACACCTCGTGTTCGAGTCCAATATTTACGCCGCTTCATCGACAAGCTCAATGTTGAAAGCAGCCACACAGCTCAAAGCAGACTCTAAACTAACACAAACGTCAAGCTCACCTATTCGAATCATACAACCCTCACAGCATAAAGAGTTGCAAGATACTGTGCTGAATTCTGTGGTTGCTCTGACAGATGAGACCGTAAGGGCAGGTTTCGGCGTCTTGATCTTCTGTAGCAGTCGCGTAGGCTGCGAGACAGATGCCAAGATAGTCGCCCGCGTGTTGCCAGCCCCTGAAGAGATTGGTGATAGAGCCGCAGAGAAGCGGGCTGATCTACTGGCTGATCTAAGAAGTCTCCCGTCGGGACTTGACCCCGTACTAGCAGAAACCGTTCCTGCCGGTGTTGCATTTCATCGTGAGTTGTGTATTCTGCAATGCCATGCCGGGGCAATTTGCTAATGAATATAGATGTGAGTGCCCTTGGATCGTTTCAAATTCATTAATTTGAACTAATTACGAAGGCGGGCTTAACCACTGAAGAACGTGACTTGATTGCGGATGCGTACGATTGTGGTACTTTGAAAGTAATCGTCGCAACATGCAGCTTGGCCGCAGGCATTAATTTACCAGTACGGTGACTCCCATGACCATGCCTTTAGCAAAGCTGACTCCCTATCCAGGCTCGAAGGGTAATCCTTCACAACGCTCGGATGGGAAGGGATCTTGTCGGACCTTCGATGCTGTAGGTGCTGCCATCATTTAGGAGTCGATGTGGACTCGACTAGCAAAAGTCTACATACCTACACAGCTCGAGTGATGGAAACAAAACAAAGCAAATAAACTCACTAATTTTGTTATAGTCGACAAATGCGTGGCCGGGCTGGTAGAAAAGGCAAAGACGAGGTTGGAGAGACTTTCCTTTGCTGTCGTAAAAACGACCTCGAAGATGTAGTCGAGCTCATGCATGCCGATCTGCCCCAAATTTCAAGCGGGCTACTAACAGACAAACATAGAATACAACGGTAAGTGCTTCCAGAACTACATCTTGACCAAAACGACTCATTGATGAGCAGGGCTATTCTGGAGGCGATTGCGATTAAATTGGCCACGAGTTCAGTCTCTATCGATGATTACATGCAAAAGACGCTCCTCAGCTTAACTGCCGCACCAACGGCGATCCAGGAGCATGTGCAATCTAGTCTTGCGGACTTGACTGATATGGGCTTTATAGTTCCAGACCAGTCCGGGGGCTTTGAAGCCACCCAGCTTGGTAGAGCCGTTGTAGCGTCAGCTCTAGAACCGGAGGACGGTGCCTTTGTTCACCGTGAGCTACAGCGCGCCCTCAGAGCTTTTGTGATGGATGGCGAAATGCACATTCTTTACACATTCACTCCTGTGCAGGACTTCTCCATGACTGTCAACTGGCAGGTCTTCCGCAATGAAATGGATACCCTGGACGAAAGTGGGATGCGCGTCCTGACCTTTCTCGGGCTGAAGCCCACCGTCATCAATCGAATGTGCGTATATATTGCTTGGCACATATGACTCCCACGATGCTAATGTGCCGCAGGGCCCAAGGCGGCAAAATGAAGGAAAACACCCCTGAAGAGCGAGAATTGTCCAGAATTTATTCTCGATTTTATCTAGCCCTGCAGCTGCGGGATCTCTGCAACGAGAGCCCCGTTCATGCAGTGGCCCGAAAATATGATGTGCCTCGAGGGAGCGTGCAGACCCTTGCACAGACCTGCCAGGGCTTCGCTGCTGGTATGGTCAAATTTTGCGATGGTATGGGCTGGGGGTATGATATCCATCCCATTACACAAACGTGCCTGCGTCTCGGGTAGGTTAACAAAAGCTAATCCGGGCCATAGGATGATGGCAGCTGCGCTTGATCACGTTGCAGATAGATTAAAGGCGGGCGCAAAGGCGGATCTCCTTGAGCTTGCTAGAATCACCTTTGTCAAGAGTCGAACAGCTCGAGTGTTTTACGATAATGGCTTCAAATCTGTTGCAAGTATTGCCAATGCAGATCCAATGGAGCTCGTGCCCATATTGATGCAGGTTTGTGCTGGAAATAATCACCCATCGACTCAAGCTTTTCTTTCGTGTACTGACTTGCTGTAAGGCACAACCTACAAAAGTAAGGCTCCAGTCCAAGGATGAAGTCAAGTATGAAGAAAAGCTTCTGGCCAAAGCCAAGGTCATTGCCGATTCAGCCAACCGGCTCTGGCGTAAGTGGGATATTCTCTTGTATTGCATGTAAATTGCTAATTTTCTTCTTTTTGCAGAACTTCAGATGCAACAAGAGATCAGCGAGGAATAATCCGATCTGGGACATAGAAATGGTGGTTGCAGCAAAAATATCACGAAGAATGTTAAGTCGAGACCAAAACTATGGGTACGGATTGCCGGCATCATGGTCGAGTACGACTTGTATTTCAAAGCATGCCATTTGCATTCAATAACAAATTTTTGTTGCAATCGGTGCCTTGATATCGCAGTCCACGATTTGACGGTACTCTGATATCAGAACAGGCGTATTGAGGGCTGTGTTGACCACACCAAGATGCAAGCTGCTTGTTTGTCTGCACCGGGCTGGCAGATGAAGATTCAGAATGATAAGGAGCCATTATGAAAATTGCGACTCGGATTGACAATTAGTCTCGAGGATGGTTGGCTAGCAGGTAATGATATGTCCGTCGTCAATCCCAGTGTTGCTGATCATGTTCTGAAGTGGCACGGAAGAGGTCAAAAAGAGGTTGTTGGGAAAAGGACACACAAGTGTGGCATTACCGCGCTCGGTAACTTTGCTTTGAGGGGGGGGGAACAGAATCATTGACATGCAATCTGCAGGTGTTCAGCTGGGGTCGATATGTTGCGCACCAATGCATCCTCATCTGACCAGTCACAACGCTCGGCAGATGCCGTCACAGCCAGTCGAGCGTGCATGAGATTCATGCGGCCAACAACGAAGACGGCATGGCAGCCTTTTGCACTCCCGTCACACGACAGGGAAAAGCATTTCGGCTGGGTCCACTGACCTGCCTAGAGGCTACATATATTGCCTTTTGGGTGTCGCTTTGGTGGAGGGGGGGAAAGGGCCTCGCCTTACCGGTGTGTGTGCGTGGAGAGAGAGGGAGGAAAGAAAGAAAGAAAAAAAATGCATCCATCCCTACCTTACTTACGCCTATCTGCCTCTTCTCCCGATCCACGTCCTTCTTCCTTGCCCCGAATTTTGATCCTGCACGCCCGCGGACGGCTGTTCGGTGTAACGCTGGGCTTGACTGTCGATTGGCTCGGCGCAAGACACCGGTTGGCTGCCTAGGTAGACTGCTGACGCCGAAACCTAATCTTCCCATCAGCCGCCTTTTGCACCTGCAAGCAAGTGGGTTTGCGCGTCTGTCTCGGCTCCCTTAGTTTTGTTCTCCTCACCTCTGCGACCTCGACTCAAATGAAAGATTTGCATCATTCAAAAAGCCTCAAAAAGTAGCACTCGTTGCGCGCCTCACTTTCTCGACTCTAGGCTGCTTTGCCTCTTGAATCATAAACTTGTATATAGCCCGCCCCCATGATGGCCGACGATTCGGCCGGGGCTAGCCAAACCGGTGGTGCAAGCTCAGGGAATCAGACAACGGACAGTCCGCGCAGAACATTGGACGATGTGATGAGATCGCCATCGATAAATCCTCCTGGCGTCGTAGTGTTGGACAGCCTACATGCGGAGAAGAGCCGCAAGAATGCCTTGAATCCGCGGGAAGACTTGTGGCTGTCCTCGGCAGACGGGTAAGACGGCCGCCTCTTGCAAACGCTCCCACCTCATATTTGTTCAAACCTGGTCGCGTGATGTTCTAATATCTAATTCATAAAGTCGCTACAATTCGCCCATTATACCGTTGGAAGTCGGTACCTATCCGGACGCTCAGACGTTTTATGTGGGTGCTGCTCCAACCACGTCCTTGACCTGCAACATTACAGCTGACAATCGGCATCAGGTTCACAAGAATGTCCTTACCAAGACGGATTATTTCAAAAAGGCCCTTTGCGGCAGCTTCAAGGAGGCCGCGACACAATCCATCAATCTACCAGAGGAGGACCCGGCGATATTTCACTTCATTGTTGCCTTCTTATACGAGGACAAATATGTTCCAATCAAGCCAATTGCGTCCGCTCTGGGTATGGTCATGGGCTGGAGACTACATCATGCAGGACATGGCTGACTGACATTCCACTACAGTACCCGATGAAAAAGGAAAGGGGCTCAGTGGGGACGACGAACTAATGACTTCGGACTCGGACTCTAGCGGCGCCGGTGACGATGCAGCAAGTGACTCGTCCAGTGCACGAAGCCGGAGGCGCCGCGCAAGGCGTCGGAGAAGAGAGGATCGCCACTGGGAAATCAATAGACAAAAGCATCCCGGGTCGCACCGGATCGGATGCGGCTGTCGCCAATGTCTTGCTGGGGGCGGACCTCCCTGCTGGCATTGCCTGGCCCCTCGTATCCCCCCGCCTCCACCGCCCGTGATGCCGATTCATCCCGTCGGCGCCCCCAACGTCGTGGTCGTCAATGACGGGCGGAGGGTGCGCAACAACAACAACCGCACCCGCGACCGGTCGCGCATCGCGTCGCCCCAGCCGCCGAATCATCGCAGCAACAGCGGCGGCAGCAGCAGCAGCAGCAGTAGCGGCGACCGCATCCAGGGCGAAGACTTGCGATCGTGGCTGCTCACCTATGAGCTGAACCTCGACGTCTATGTCTGCGCCAACAAGTTCCTCCTCGAGGACTTTAAGCAGGCCATTGCGCGGTGCTGCATTGACATGCTCGAGTCGGCCGGCGCCGACGCGGCGCAGACAAAGGTCCTCGAGCTGTGCGCAAAGCTGTTTGCGGGACTGCCCGAGTCGGACCCTCTACTCAAGATGGTGTTTGCGCGCGTGGGCTTTTTGCAGCCGCTGCTCTGGAGGCATTGCCCCGAGGAGACGTCGGCCTTTTTGCTGGCGCACCCCGAGATCTCGCTCCTGATATTAAAGGAGACGGCCAACCGGCGCGAGCTGGATCATGGCATTAGTCAACTGCCGCCCATGGAGCGACCTTTCCTCCCGCCTCCGTTTGATAGTCCTTATGCGAGACCCATTGCGCCCATGCATCATCGGGCTAGATGGTAAAATATCTCTACCTTGGGGCACAACTTTTGATGAAGGAATGTATATTGCGAGTTATTGGGAACTTGTTATCGACCCCATATAATTTTTCTTCTCTCTTGTTTATTCCTCGCCTCATCCTTTGACGCGGGGGGCAGGTCCGGAGTCCGATTATATATTTAATTCATGCCAGGAAAATGTACAGAGAAGGCAGTAGTATAGTGAGCACTGGTTTGGAGTTGAAGGATTAAAGAAAAAAGTAATAATATTTCTTTGCTCGGTCTTGCCCCCCAAATTCTTGCTTCAAGCTTCTGTATTTCGGGAGCCAACAAATGTGCTCTTGGCGGACGGAGAAATACCCGCCCACATTCGGCGTATCATTGTGATCGACTGCCGAGCCCCCTTCGCCCGCTATTGGCTGAACTGGCTAAAGACGAGTCGTTTTTTCCCCCCAGGATTCCCCAACAATCGTCCAGAGTCTTGGGAAAGGCTAGCGAAAGAAATCCGGGGCTATTGCAGGGTAAGTAACTTGGCCAATTTTCTGGCACGCATATGGCCAAGTGGCTAGACTTGACGTCAAGTGACTGCATTGCAAGCGATGGCCAGTGAGTTTACCTAGCTTGCTTATAAGATCTGCACAAGAGCCCGGGAAACGATGGGCAAATAGTCTAGATTGATTTCATGTGCTGTCTGTTTCTCTCCCTTGGTGGGTTAATAAAGGGTGTGAGCTTATCATGATGAGACTCATGGCGATGCACATATGGTGGTTGGCCGCATTCGTGATTCAATGCGTGTTTGCACAGGATCTCATTGCGAGCCTCGACTACGGAACCTTTCAAGGCGCCTATAGCGCCCAGTACAATATCTCGTACTGGCAAAAGATTCCATTCGCAGCACCGCCGATTGGAGAGAACAGGTAAAGAAATCATCCATCTTTACAGACTCAGTATCAGCCGGGAAAGAGTGGCATACACAAGGAATGATCTAATGTTGAAAGTCAAATAGATTCCGCGGCCCCCAGCCGCCACTGCGCATCGAAAATGGCACCTACAACTCGACGACAACTTTTGACATGTGCCCGCAGAGGACGGTAAGTATAATGCCACCCCTATTCTCTGTCAAGCCCATCTGAAGAAGTGCAATGTCCAAGAAGGCTGACTAGGTGAATGCACAAGGTCAATGGCTCAGAAGACTGTCTATATCTCGGCCTCTACGGCCGGCCCTGGACCCAAGGGCAGCCCCTCCGCCCCGTCGTGGTCGTCTTTTACGGCGGCGCCTTCATCCAGGGGTCGGCCTCCTTTACGCTCCCGCCGTCGGCGTATCCGGTGCTCAACGTGTCAGAGTCCAGCGACATGATGTTTGTGTACCCAAACTATCGCGTCAATGCCTTTGGGTTTTTGCCTGGGCGCGAGGTGGCCGAGGACCCGCACTCGGACGTCAATGCCGGTCTGCTGGATCAAGAGGCCGCGATACGGTGGACGCGACGGTACATTGGCCAGTTTGGCGGCGACTTAGAGGAGATTTCCATCTGGGGCCAGTCGGCCGGGGGAGGCAGCGTGCTGGCGCAGACGATTGCGCGACAAGAGCTCAGTGATGATGCAACGGGGCGAGGAGAAGCAAGGGGAAAGCTGTTCAAGCGAGCTCTGGCGTCTAGTCCGTTCTGGCCAAAGACATATTCCAACGACGCGCCCGAGGCCCAGTCCCGGTACGATCAGCTCGCCAACCTGACGGGCTGTGCCGACGCGTCCGACACCCTCCAGTGTCTCAAGACTATCGACGTGGCTGTGATCCGCAACGCCAGCTACGCCATGGTCTCGGGAAACCTGTACGGACCGACATCATATCCCTGGGGGCCCATTATTGACGGGTCGTTCTTGACCCGATCGCTCTCTGAAATTACGAACTCAGCAGGCAACCTCAATGCCGAGTTGGTCTACTCCATGTACAACACCCACGAGGGCGAGAACTTCGTTTCCTCGGCCGTCGACTATGACGCGTGGATCACGGGCTTTCTGCCCTTGTTTTCCACTGCCGATCTCGCGCGGCTCAATGCCCTATACCCGGCCGCCGGCAGCGCAGAGTCCATCACGGCGTACAATGACTCGTACACACGGGCCGGCCTCGTCTACCGCGACTCGGTCCTGGCGTGCCCGGCCTACTGGACGGCCGGGGCGGCGCAAGACGGTGGCTGGCTCGGGGAATACACCATTTCCCCGGCCAAACATGCTTCCGACGTGAGCTATGTGAGTTGGAAAACCCCAGAATTTGGCTCTTCATAGCATCAATCGGGGTAACTAACACGAATGATACTCTTAGTGGAACACTGTAAACTCGATTCAGCAAACGGATCCGCTGCATTACAAAGGCTTTGCCGGTAAGAGATACTCCCAACTGCTGTTTCTGGCGGCACAAGAGCAAACTGACCTCTCTATCCCAAGGTGCTTTTGCTTCCTTCTTCATGACTGGGGACCCGAATGCGCTCAAGCTGACAGCGGCCAACGTCACGGGAGTACCGGCATTGCAGACGGGCCAGGAGTGGGTGATTGACAGTGACGGATTTACTACGAGCAACCTTACGCAATTCGTGGCACGGTGTAACTTTTGGAGAGAAATGGCAACAAAACTGCCGGTGTGAGCGATATCTGCAGGGTAGCTATTTCATATGAATAAATTGACATGTGTTGCTATGATCCAAATGCCATTTCTCCCATGGTATTGCATTGCGTTTCAAAGACAGTGCAGCCACATGAGTAGCTTTGACAGTTGGCACCGACAAAGACCCATAGGTTTAAAGTATATCGGAAATAAACTTGAATGAATTTGTGTACCATGGGAAGAGCACAAATAATGACGCCGTAGATGAGGGATATTGGGATTTTGCATAACAACTTCATACTTACACGGGAAACGCGACAAAAATCAACGTGTTGAACTCTGATCGAGAAGGTGTGTTTGAAATGACTATAGCGGCACTTTCTGAGCAGCCTACCAAGCCTGTCATTCTTTGACATGGTCTAAAGTTACTTTTCAGAACTCCACCTTCATTGGTAACTCTGTGAGTTCCATATCTGAAGTCATGAAATAGCCGCGGTGGAGTAAAGGGACTTTCTGGCATGTTCCCCTCTATAGATCAGTCAGAGGAGGGTACCCACTCCTTTTTTTCTCTTTTCTTTTTTTCCTCCGTCACTATACAAGCGCCATTTCTCTTGATACTGGCTCTCTTGGGGTGTCTTTAATGACACTGAAGAGCGACTAGTAGATTGACTGAGGAAAACTGATGGATATGGGAAACAATAGACATCGGAGATTCCCTTTTGAGACAGAATGGGCCTCAAATATGTCGGGCACATGCATCTAAGCCTCGCGGTGCTAAAGAGAATGTGGAATATAGGCAACCAGGCAGGCATGCCAATGAACATGGTAAATGCAAAGTAACTCACCTCGCGGGCAGCCCACGTAGTATACTACTTTGGTCATAGCTCAACTTACCTGGGTACCTTGCTAACACGGTAAGCAAAACCTTTCCCGTATTGTCAATCGGACCCTACGCAATGTTGTTATACTCCACCGTCTCGCTTCCACCCCGTCAGCCCGCTGGGGCAAAGAGATCTAGACCCTTGCATGACGCAACTTTTTCACAGCCCCTACACCGCCGTCGAGGCAGGGGGGGCCTCAAAAACTTTAGAGACAGATAGCCTTGGCCGTCAATGCTCTCGACTCCGTCGATCCGGAAGTGTTTCTCTGTTGCAATGACCCCCTCCGACAGAGAATGGGGGCCAAGTAAACGAGAGACTCCACCCCAGGGCAACTCGAGGACGCTCGAGCCAACGCTTGACTGACACGTCATTGGGGATCACGACGTGGCTGTCTCGTCCGGCATTGACCAATGCCCTCTTCCCCGCTCCGCCTAGTAAAGGTTCTCGGCCCTGCTGTCGTAAGGGACCTCAGAGTTGCATGAGGTCATCGTGGCACGGAAGATCTTTGTGGATTCCTGTTGCAACGACAACCGCTGGCAGGGAGGGGACCCACAAGGAGACGGACTGCATCCGGTCCAACTAAAGAGAATTCTCTCTGGAGGCTGAAGCCGAAATATTGCTCCCGGCTAGGCAGCAAGGTGAGGCAGATCAAGATGCAAAGAATTCCACCCTGATGCGTCTGGCTTATATGCATTCGACCGACAGATATACTATACTTGATGACTCGAGCGGACTTCCGGCGAGTGGGGATCGGCTCCGCCCGATACGGACCCCACCATGTTTATCTTGGCACTCCGATGCTGCCGATAATGCCGCCCCGGAGCCCCAGTTAATAAGCTATCGGAGACTTTCAAACCAATCATACCGAGGCTGCATAGGACCCTTATACAATCCATTTGGATTGCGTAAAACTCCCACAAATCCAAATCTGCGTGAAAAAAATATCAATCCCACGAGACACACACGGACCAAAGCCTGGCCTGTCAGCTCGTGGAAATTATTAGCTCGAATAGACATTCTCTGATCTGACTGCTTACCTGGTACTTACCCTGACAGTAGGATTCTCGCCATGAGGTTAGCTCGAGAACATAGAAATCGCATAATGAGAATCAAAAAGAGACAGTTGGAAATAAGAGCATTTCTCAAGTGACTAGCTACAATTTCTTGCTAATCATTTAGGCCGGGACGCATTCTAGTCGCCCTATTGCCTTGCAGAGAATGCTTGAATGCATGTATGCTGCATGTCGCTCGCAGTGCGACCCTTTGAACCAGATTTCCTGCAATTTTGGTGGAGGGGGAGGTCAATATATACAGAGCAGCTCCAGATCAGAAGGAACAAGTAAATGTCTCCTGCCTCAGCCCTTGATGGAAAAGTGTCCACATGAAACGTGTATGTACAATCCGGGGAAAGGACTACCCAGTCACCAAGTACGCCTACGTCTCCCCCTATGCCACATACTAGAAAGCTTGAGCATTAATGGTCTCGGGTGCCCCCTTGGGCGTCTCGACCCATTGCTCTGGTATTAGGTGCATCTGCTGCGATGCCAGCATTACCTCCACTTGAATTCTTCGCTTCCCTATGCCGCAGATGCAGCCAAGGTATTGGTCTCAAAGAAGCAACGCGGTTCTGCGCGGAAAAGCGAAGTACAGAGTTCAGTCTCCGTAGGTGGGTGGGGTTTTTGTTTTGTTCTTGTTGATGAGTGTGTCGGATGCAAGGAAATTCGTACTGTAGAAGTGATGACACCGGGGGAAAAAAACGTCCGATGAGAAAGTTATGTTCGTACAAAAGAGGCTTCATGGTGTGAGCCATGGGTCGGTGGCTCACAGTCGTTGATATCGTCATATATGGTGACTTGATGTTACAAAGTGACCATGCGTATCTCTCTGGTAGTAGAGAGGAGTGTGTTATTAAAACAGGGTGAGGATGGGGACCTGTAAGTCGGAAACCAGATTGTTCCAAATAAGAATAAAAAAGAACCAGGACGAAAAAGCCGGAAGGACGATGGCAAATTGATATGCTGTAAAGGAGAAGGATGAATGCTTGGAACCGGCGAGCAAGCAAATCAGATGCCGGATCCAACAAAACACAAAGCAATGCAGTTGACAAGATGCTATGCCAATGCGACTCTCTAACTCTAGAATGTCTCTAATTCTAGAATGTCGGGTATAATTAGATGTGAGAGCGCAGAACATTTTTTTGCGGTGAGAAGCAAATGTCTAGAAATGCAAAAAGACCAAGGACTGCCATCGCGGGATCCATGGTTGCTGAATGTGGCGAAAGATCTGTAGTGGTTCTGGATCCATGTTCAAAAGTCCAGGTTATATCAGTATGATGCCATGCGGCGGGCAGACGAGCGATCGGCACCGAGAATGGGAGAGTTGCCAATCATCATTTGGGGTGAGTCTTGCAAGCTATTCCGGCTGGGGGCAGTTGGTGATGCTTCAACCATGGATTCACGTGCACCAAATGCAAATGTCTTGGCTCTGCCCAAGCCTTTCCGCTTTTGCTGAAGCTTGCCCATTTCGCGCTCACATGTGGCAATGTGTTCCTCGTCATTCATCTCCACGTATGATTGAGGGTAGCAGCGGCAACGGTGTTGTGTGAAGAACTCACTGTAACCACCATCTAGGATGTAGACATCAGGGTAACTAAGTCTCGGGTAGAACTCGGCATTGATGGCCCTATCCTCGGAGCGGATGTGACGAGCCATCATGGGAGCCCGGTGAGCAGAGTACTCGCAGTGAAGGACAAGCAGGACCTTGCCCTCCATGGGGGTCTCGAATAAATGCCTCGTGAGAAGCTCTTTGTCATTATAGTTGATTGCACCGTCAATGTGACCGCCCTCATATTCGTATTCGAACCGACAATCAATGACAATACGCTGTGTATATTGGTCTTCATATTTTCCGTCCAAGACATCAAGGAAGGTCCCTTGGGATATCCGGGGAATTGTCTCGTTCTCGCCTTCGGGGTGAAAGTGAGGCAGCATGGGGTCTTGGACATCCTCAATGTCCATCACTGATTGGAGTGCACTCTGCGGGATAGGATCATTCGTTTTGGGCTTGACCACATCAACAGGATTCTCAAACATGCTTAGCGAACGGCGGTATTGGCGCCGGGGACGTTGGAAGGGGTTCGAGGGCCGTCTCGGGTGTGATGACGGAGAGCTGTTGCGGAGTTCCCTTGTACCCGTCAGACTAGCAAATTGAGGTTTTTGACGGAAAGACCCTGGGCCACTGGACGAGGGGCTGTTGGCAGACGAAGGCCTCTTCTGGGGCGGCGACTCTTGGAAGCACTCGCCCAATGGCAGGTTGGCTTCCGAATTGAAGCGAAAGGCTGCTAGCTGAGCATCGGGGTGCAGCCGGTTTGCCAATGCGTTTGTGGAGTAACCCTTTGTGCGGGTCAAGGAAGGTCGACGAAGGGCAAGACGTTTCCTGCTGTCGGACGGGTGCAATTGATTCCGGGCAATGGCAACAGGAGACTCCAACATCATCTCGTCGTCGTCATCTTCGGGAAGCTCACCGGGCGTGGGTGAGGTGATCTGAATCGAGTATGGCTCCTTGTGAGGCAGCAGGGGGGAAATGTCCATAATGTCGTTGACATCTAGAGGAACGGGCGAGGACGAAGCTGGTAAAGGAGGTGTGGTGACATAATCTAAAAAGACAATATATCAGTAAACGGGCAGGTTTTGCAAATGATTATACTCCAGCCTACCTCGACCGTCCATGTTTCCCATCATGTTGGAGGTGAACAAAGCCCGGCGTGGAGTTGGAAACCGTGGACTGTTTAAACGCACAAGCAAGGTCAGTTTGACGATTAAGCAAAGTATTTCTAGGTTTTCCGGACATACCTCGACTCATTGTCTATCCGAAAGTTTTGGGACAGGTCTGCAGCAAGGCTGGCGGTGGGAGACGAGCCACGGACAGACTTGAGGTTGAAGTAGTCGGGATTTGTCCGTTGCAGTTGCTCACGGATATTGAAGGTCCCTGAGCCAAATGCCTTGCTAGTATGCAATTGAGCATGAGGACGAAAGATATCACCGGTTTGGCCCCATGACACGGCAGGTGCTGGGTGCATGGCAGCCAGGGGAGAGGAGGAAACATCCATGGTGGTTAAATGGTGCTGGTGCTGGGTGGGAGGTTTGGGTGTTGAAGGCGTAGGCTCGGTCCGCAGTAGCTGAGTGTGGAATGCAGCTTGAAAGGTTGTTGGCTGTATACAGTAACTCTACTCCTCAAAGGCCTATTCGAAACAGCAAGTCGGTAGACTACTTGTGTATAGAAAAGGAGCGGTGGTGTTTCGTCACAATTAATGAATAATGCTGATTTCCACGCATTGGTTGTAAGTCGAGGTGGACTGTAAGTATGCCAGCAGTGCTCTCGTCTTGGTGGATGAGGGTTGGTTGAGAGGAAGCCGGTGACCTGCTGCAGCCAGTGAATTGTTGGATTCAATGACTTGAGAGTTTGACCAGAATGATCAACGAAGGCCACAATTGCAGAGATACTGAATTAACAGATCCGCAAAGGGGTAGCTCGTCGAGAAAATTTGGTAGCGGGGATGCCGTTGCCTTTGGCAGCAGTTGACCAAGTAACGAAGTGATCCTTGGTGGTCGAGGGTCAACCGGACGGAGGTTTTTGCAGCGCCGCGGGGTGGTCGGCCACGAGCTACTATCGTTTTAAATGGGTGGAATTAGGGGGGGTTGCTCGATTTTAATTAGTGATTGACAAGATGCTCTTGTAAATCCCGGACTGTGTGAGTTTTGACTCTCGCTCTTTTCTTCTCTTATCCCTTCCTTCAATGTGGAGGCAAAGTAAAAAAAAAGTAAAGTAAAGCTAAAAAGAAATACTCAAACTCCAATAAGAGGCAAAAAGAGTATTCACAATCCAAAGTTGTATATTTGAATTATTGCCGCCGTCGTGGTATTGGTGATTCTGTCGGTTTCCAACGTGGGAGCCACCAGAAAATCGTATGCACTGTAAAAGGTTGACTTGGTCGTATCCAATGGCCAAGGTTCAAGCCCACCAGCGTCGCCCAAATATGGTAATCCGGAAGTGGGTTGGCTATGCACTGACTTCTCGCACGGTGACTTGAGAGAGCCCGGAGTTCCTTCTGTAGTAGTGTCAAACACGCCTGTCGAACTTTTCGCCACTGTGAATGTGTATATATTAGTTGTCGTCGAAGGGGAAACGACTGCGGCGTTTTTGTCGATGGGCGTTGGGCGAAGAAGTCGGAGGGCTTCAAGGGCCGGATGGGTTAGGTGAGAGGAAGTACGAGTTCAGATGGCGGGTGAGGCTGCCTTTTGTTCAAAGGCGCTCTGGTACCTGAACCTGAACCAAACCAAAGAACCAAGTTTGTCTGCACGTCTGCACTCTCTTTCTTGGGACCCATTCATTCTCTCTGCATACACTGGACGAGCATCGCGTTGTCAGGGGCAATTTGGTGTGGGATGGTAGCCCTGGCTTGCTGCAGCCGGGGTGCAACCTATAGCGTTTAGCGGGTTTTCGACCGCTGTCGCTTGACCAGGGGGGGCGTAGGAGCCAGACTGCGAGACGGTTGTGACCAGACTTGAGCACGCACACCCCCAATGACCTGAAAAGTCTTGCTAGGTAGACTGACTGGAAGGTCCAGCTGCTAAGCGCTGTGCACCGACCAGTCTCAGTGGAGTTTAGGGCCTGCCGGTTACATCATAACCGCTAAGCTCTAGGTGGGCAAAACCTGTAATCCGCGCAACAACCTGCTACCGAAAACGTTCACTTCAGGGCTGACGTTCTCTTTTCCAAGGCGCTGCTGCTCACCTCTCTTCTGCCCGAGTCTGTTCCGCTCCATTGGTAGGCTCACAGTAGGCACCAGCTCGATGCGGATAAACATAGACCATCACCGATCTGGATCTGTGATGATGGGATACGCGACCAGACAGCATACATATATCCACATCTCGCCAAGTCCGGTGATGATACCCTTGTGTTGTGGTGATTTTCCCATCTTCATACGTTCAACCAGACGACCCCCAGCACGATCTAACCAAATCTTCCAGCTCTGGACCGTATGAAGCTTTGAATGAGCCCGAATTGACATGCCCAGGTGCTCGGATAGGCCGTTTGTAGAGACAGAGATACTCATGGATGCCTTGCTTTTGAGACCCAAGGTTGCGGACGCTCCAGCCTCCTAGTATTTCTCGTCATCTTCATTCCGGCTGATGCCCAAGGATATACTAATGTTGATACTATTGACATTGTCAGCAGCTCCCAACTATGGAGCCGAGCACGCTGAAGAGGCTTAGCGAGCGATTGCTTGTGTAAAGTTTGCTCCTCGTACAACAAACAATGCTTTCACACAAACCAGAACGTGGCATGCGTGAAGAGATGCTTGTGGTCACAAAGCTAAAGATACTTTGTCTACATATCTGAGGTCTCTGTCTATTTTGCCTATATTTCCAAACACGGAAGAGGGGACGATCAACTAGAATTGTTTCAGTCCTCCCCTGGCATCCTCATCGACCTCTTTCAGAAAGTCCGAATCTCTCTTATTCAAACAAACTGTTGACTGGCCGCCTTAATCCGGCCACGAACCGCTCAACAACCTGACATGCCCTCGTTGCTCAGATATGTCTTCCGCTTCGGGAAAGACCCCAGCAAGCCTTGCGGCCGCCCGTCTGGGATCCCGACTGAATTCATGTAAGATGCCAGCAAGGGTTCAACGGCTGAGACTTTGACTCAGAACATGTTTTCTCTGAGACAAAATTGAAAGACCATTGCCTGCCAGAAAACGCCCATGGCGCTACCGTTCATATAGATACTATGTTGTGCACAGCAACTTTAAAAAAAAGAAAGTGATTCGGGAAGGTTACAGCGGCATATGATGAACCACGGAAAGCCTTACTCAAGCTTTAAAATGCCTGCTGGTTAATTCTATGAAATCTGCTTTTTGAGTGCACTTGTGACTGATACGAATGATGGCTGCTGCAGAGAGCCAAAATGTTCATTCGTGATTCGACTTGCTTGTCGACCCCCCGGCTGCAATGGGATGACTCAACTCTGGACCTGGGGGAACAAGATTCCTGACGATCATGCCGGCGAGGATGAACGCTGGGTTGAGACAAAGCATCACACACGTGTCTAGCAGCGAGTGCTCATTGTCTCGTGCGCGCGCAGACTTGGGATAGACTCTTTTGTTTTCAAGGGTCTTGGGCCGGCCTAGAGCGCGCTCTGGCAAATTGCAAGTTGCAACCTCGGGCGCACAGTGGCTATTGCGCCCGCGATTTCCATGGTATGCATGGTTGTAATGGGGTCCTTAGATAAGCTACGACTATGCCAACCAAGTGCCGTGCTTTACAATAACTATTCTACACATCTGATGTTCTGGCCTGGCTGGGCAGGCTTGGAGTTTCGAAACTGCGGAAAAATCAGACCATTAAAAGAAACTACCGTATATCGCGCGTCATCGTCGCAGCTGAAATCTGAATCTCGATAGGTCGGGCGGGGTATGTTTCGAAGTAATGAGCTGGGTCTCGCGAAGGAATAGAACGAACGGGGTTTTCGGGGGAGGAGCCCAGCTGAATGGCAATGATGGGGACCTACCTAGGTAAGGATTCTTTTTTTTTTTCTCCCTCTCTTCATGTTTTCTTTTCTGGTTGCCGTGTGAATAAGGTAAGCATCATCCCAGGAAGCTATAGGTATGGGTCCCCGCTGCATGGCACATGCAAGCAGCAAGACGATAATGGCCCCGCTTCACTTGCGAGCCTATCACAGTAGCACCGGCCCTTGGGAACGGCGTCTGGAGACTCCAGTCGCGCAGAGTCAAAGAGAGTGCACGCCAACCGAAAAGACGGGCACACTTCCCCCTCTGCAGTCTAGCACAACTCTTCTTGAGACGCGCCCGGTTGTTGCTGGCTGCTGGCTTGCTGCGGGTGGCTATGACAGAATGGGTTCCATCCTCGTGCAGCTTCTCCAGAGTGGTCGCGTTGCCGTTTGGCCGCCTGGGCCCTCTGCCGGGGCGGGTTTCTTACTTCTTGCATGCCCCATCCATTGCCCACCCCATCGCGCGATGGATCTGCCATGGGTCTGTTGACTCTATTCCCGTCATACCTTGGAAAAAGAAGAGGTTGGCAATGATGAAAGAACAAAAGAGACAAAACACAACTAGCCCGGAAAAATAAAAGAGATCGTAATTTCCTACCAGGCGCGCAATTGCAGAGCCTCAAGATGTTGTGTCAGTCTATGATTGGAAGGCACAAGCGCGAGTATCCATTGCTTGAAATTTGTCTATTGAATCTAATGGCAGCGACACCCGATGGCCATCTTGGGGCGCAATAGGCTTCATCCTTGTTTGGAACGGTTCGGGGTCAACGGAATCTATTATAGCAAAGCACACTGATTTAAATGCACGGTTCGTTAGAGACGCGAGGCCTCGCGGACGAACATGTGGATTGTTAGACAGCCTCGCGCGGAGAAGAGATTGAAGATGGATTTCGATTATAATCGTATTTTCTTTTGGTACGACAATCAAGGATTTTGCCAGTCTTGGTTCTGGAAGCTCTGCCTTAGCCGTGAGTATTTTAGTCCTAGTCAGGAACCAGCGGTGCGGAGGAGAGAAGGTTCGATTCTCCCACCAAGGCCCCGATCTGTCGGCTCGTGAACCGACGTCATTTTTGAGTCTAAAAATGCCGATACACGCACTCGCACGATTCAAAGAGCTCGCGATCTTCGATTCATTGTGCGCGTCTACGTCAATTACAACTACATACTACGTGTACTGTTACAGTTCTAGATGCCATCTTTCATTCGCGTTTGTGTACCGGGCGGGCCAAGGTATACGGACGAAAAGCAGGCTATGACACCAAAGATACCCAATGATCACCATTGTTTACTTACGGCGGAGTGCTTTTGTTTACTTTTTGACAAAAACTGCCACCGATTGCTTCACCTGGCTGCTCTGGCTGTCTCAGGTTTCAAGCTGACCGCCCACTCGAGTCTCTCCAATCGTCGCGAGCGAATGACCTGCATCAGAAAGAAGCAACATCAAAAAGATCAGATGGAAGGCGGACAAGATCCAATGAGAATCGCCAGACCTGCTATCGCCATTGTCGCCGATTGGGGCCCTTGCCGAACCGGGGGCGCAGCTGGGAGGATCTGGGCGCGCGTGCGCCCTCAGCTCACCTGATGCGCGTGCAGATTACCATCTAGGGCACTCTCTAATCGCACACAATGTTTCGTGACAGCGGCTATGGCGCTGCCAATAATGCGATTCTTTGCATTTCACAGCTGGGCTCAGACTCGGGGGCTCAGTGCAAAAACCCGCTACAATTATCCATGTGATGGCTCCAGATTCTCTTCAGCTACCGACAATACCGAGCTATCTTTTCTAGCTAGCTAGCTCTGCTAAGCTGCCACACACACACACCCACACGCCGCCGCCGGAACACAGCAGCCCAACTTGAAAGCAGGTGACGAGCATCACAATCTACACTAGAAACCTAGCAGCATCATGTCGTAGCTGATCGTGCATGCTTGATGTGTAGAATCCACCAGGGCTGAGGCACCCTTGAGTTTGGCGATAGCTCATCCATCGTGCTGCACTCAAAGTAACAAGTGAGGGGTAAAATGACTGTAAGTAAACAAATCGAGACGCGCGAAGCTGTCAACATGCTGCAACCAAGCTGCAGCTATCCCGGTCAAACGCGAGATCACGGGAGTTTGCTAAGCCGTCCTGGGCCTGGGGGGAACACCCTTCCACACCCTGACTTTGCTCTCCGGGCCGCCCATTGGTTCGTCGCTCCTCCGTACCTTTGCCTAGATCTCTCTCACCTCAGCGCCCACATCAGCTTGAAGCTGCACTCAACATCGCAATACTCTCACTTGCGCGCGGGATGCGCCCCGATAATGGAACCCTAGTCTAACCTCAAACAATCGAGCCTTATGGCTTTGCACTCACGAGCATGGGGGGGTTGTCGTTTCCGAATCAAATCACCTGCCTTTTATTCCTCACGGCCCTGGACGACTGGAGATCCTTCGGCGCGAAAAAAAAAAAAAAAAAAAAAAGGATTTGGTTGCCCGGTTAAGATCCAAGACCCGGACCCTCAAAGATCCACGAAGGCACTGACCAGGGGTTTCCTTTGGTCGCAAGTTTCAGAAAGCCTGGCAATTTTGCGGAATTGCTACCTGGCTAAAGAGAGTTTTTGCCAGCGCGACCTAGACATGGTGAGAAAAATGCTCGACCAAAGGTTAATTGATACTATATGCGGTGGGTGTAGTACCAACCAACGCCTCGCTGCTGGCTACCGAGACGTCGTGCAACGCCATCTACGTATCGTACTTGCAAAGATAGTGAAGTTTGCTCAAGTTTGGGCCATACTATCACTTGTAACATGATTCGAGGTGATACGACCGATCAGCAATGCTTCCCGAAAGACAACAAAAAACAATCTCATTGTACCTTCTGGGTTGGTTACTTGAACCAGCTCGCCAGGCATCGAAATACGGTTACTGCTGACTGGGTTTCTACTGTATTGTGTAATGTATATATGAGCTGCAGTCATCACAATGCTCCTTCGACGGTGGGGTTGATACGGGTTTGCGGGGCACGGTCCCCGTATTTGTCCTGCCGTGAGCAATATACTGCCCACATTATCCGGGATATCAAGAACATCTGTGACTATGATGGTCGCGTAGTATCAAGGATGATGAAAAGACCCTGCATGGCACAGACCTCTAACCTAGGTATCTTCGAGAGCCTTCATCCTATTGCAATTCATGTGCACGGTCTGGAAGGAGTGGCAAAGGATGAGTTTCTCCTCGACAGGGACATGCTCTACTGTCAGGTCGTGGCATGGCTAACTGTCAGCCAAATGTCATGAAGGTTTGCGCCTTTCCAACACGTGGGGCTAATCTAGCTCTTTCAAGCCCTGGTTCGATGCCCTTTATTATGTAAATGGGATTTTGGTGATTGCCATTCTTCTTTTAGCAAGTCTGTTCCATAAAACAACTTGTGAACTGTATTTCATCGGTAGGAAGCTGACTCGTTCATATGGCTCGTAAGTAGATCAAAATTCGGTCTCTGGTCTATTTCGCTAGCCGAGTGCCGGAAACCTTGAGACAGACCATATTTTCCGCAGAACCCGAGGTCCCGTCTATGTCTTCATTATTAAGCCGACTAGGCTTACAAAGACATAGCTGAGTTTAATACAGTTAATAAATTTATATTGCCACATTTTCAACATTATTCTCTTCCAACATACAAACTTGTATGCAATATCTCCAGTGCTCTTGCTCGTGATGTTGCGTGGCCTCTTGTCGAAGAAAAATCTGGAACAATATCCCGACGAACATAGAGTGCAAGACAGCAGCAACTCCGGAGCTGTCAAGCACGGGTGGGAAAAACCTAATCATGTAAGACACGGGGGCTATGACTGCAACCGTGATTTGAATAGTTTCGATTTGAGGGAGCACTTTGTCTAGGTCATAGTCGTTTCAATACTTCGCTCCACACAGGATTCCAAGCCTACATTGTATACCGGTCAACGGCCAGGCCATGATTCTCTGGTTTTGTGGCATTGTGATGCGATTCCCCAGCCACGTTTCTTACCAAGGAGATTGCGAGACGAACACACGATGGCCAGCTTGGAGGTGGGTATTAAAAGAAGATGTAAGTAGACTTATGGAAAATGAGCAACATAATGTCGTGACGTAAGAAAAAGTGCACTTGCCAATGATTTGAATTCAAGGTGACGCGGAAACATTTGCAGCAGTATATAAGCAAGAGTTATCCAGATGGCAATAGAAGTGGAAAACATTACGTTCAGCGAGGCAACTATGCCGAGGCATAATGATTTCATTTCATGCGTGGATCAGAACCTTTGAGCTATCTTTGAGCCATCTTTGGTGAGTAACTATCAGTAATGTCCGGCATATCATGAAAATGGGCATAAGGTTGTAGTTAGCATTCCCGCAGTCTCAAGCCCAGAACACGGGTTCACAGGGGGAAAAAAGGTACGGCAATGTGGGAAGGCAACAATCATTCGGACATTAGAGCTGAGCCTTCTCGGGTCAACGACGTCAACGATTGGGGGCGACTTTTCCTTGTATTCTACGATGTTTCCTGTTCAAAACCAGTCCTGTAGAAGCTTGGTGAAATTGGAAATCAGGAGAGGAGAGCTCATTCTTCGTTACTATTAGTTAGGAGAGAAAGCCCATTTCAACTTTTTTCTCTCTCTAAATGTTCGTGCCAGCACATGCTTTATTCGAGCAAAGTTTATTTTGTCACGATTTCGGCATGTCTTGTATGTGTCCACTTCCCATGAACTAGGCAAAGCATAATGAAGCGTCGTTGACTCAGTTCCCGGCAACTTGACTTCAGATATCCGAGATCACGGATCGGGAGTGTGGCAATTGAACCGTGTGAGGCTCAACCGTCCGCATGTAAGGTTGTCGTCTATTTTTCTAGAACTAGCTAAAAAGATTTCCCCCCCATAATCTTGAGAACCCAAAATTTGACCAATGAAATTCAAAGAAGTTTCTCAAAGTAAGAAATGCATTGTCCGTGACTATTGTTACAATAACCATTTTGAATGGCCTCTTGTATAAATGGGTTTGCTCAAACCTGTTGCTGAAGGCACCTCTGTGGAAATTACGCGGACGTTTCCTTCGAGCGCAACCTACACAATCAATACTTGGAACCCTTTTTGGCGGTATGCCGGACTGATGGGTGCCGGCCGGAATGCTGACGCTGTTCACGCCTGGGCAACCAAAGCATTCAGCCGCTTGGACAGTGCTCAAAGGCAGTACGCGTGACGGGCTATCCATTCCCGTACTCGTTGGTGAGGTAACTTCTGTTTTTGCAATCTGGAATTTGAGCTTGACACCCACATTCATTACCTAGGTAGTGACAGGCTTTACTTGCCCTCGATATCATAAGTATTGGGCAGCCGGAGGTGAGGTGAAATGATATACCAAATATGAAATGCATAGTACCATTAGTGTAGAAACACATGGCACTAAGCGCACAGTAGTGGAGGCCGCTATGCCACACATCGCATGGAAGCCCCACGTCGCTAACCATATGCAGCGCAACTGCCAGGCGGTCAAACTCGGCAGTACTTGTGATTGGAAAAAAGTTGAAGCTGGAGGATAGCAACGTGATAATCATCAAATTATTACAATCCAGCACAAACTTCGAAATGGGCAGTAAACGCAAGCGCGGATCCAAGGGCAATGGCAGTGAGAACCAACCGTCTCACAAAAAGGCCAAGAAGGGTGAAGCCGCTGCCCAGGCGGCCTCCACAGAGGCCCAGAACCTCGAGCTCGATAAGTCGCCTTTTGCAGAAAAGCTCGCCGCCGAGGACAGAAGACGCGAACAAAAGATCTATGACCTGCTCGGCAGCTACGATAGCGCCGAACATATCGCTGCTGCTGATGCCCTCGTGACTGGGCTTTTGAGCAGCGATGAGGGCGCCCTCAAGCGACATCTGGAAAGCCGTCTGTTTCGTGGACTTGCTAGCTCCCGCAATGCTTCCAGGATTGGCTTCAGTCTCGTCCTGTCAGAGATTCTCAGTCAACTTTTTGGCGAAAAGCGCTTGGCTGAGACCAAGTTCCCGGGCCTCACATTTGACAGTGTCCTGGCCAGCTTGCTGGAGAAGACACAACCAAGCGGCAACATTTCAGGTCCCGAGGAGCGCGACTTTCACTTTGGGCAGCTCTTTGGTCTCCAGTGCTTTGTAGAGTCCAAAGTTCTGTTTGGAAGTGATAATATAAGATGGGCCACTATCTTGGACCTCCTGGTAAAGCTCGCCGACAGGAAGGTCTGGATGAAGTCGCACTGCGCCTGGGTCATTGTTCAAAGCCTGCCGCAAATGGGCCAAGAACGGGCTGGAGAGACGCTCAAGAAGCTGGTGGAGGTCGGCTGGGGAAAGACGGCGGAAGGTGTCGGACTTTGGATTGCAGCGGCAAGCACGTATCCGAAACTGAAGATGCCTAGCAAGCCTTGGTCGGATCCCATGGCTACTAAGAGTATCCCGGAACTCGCCAATGTGTTGAAGGAGAACGTGAAGCAGGATACTGGAAACAAGGAGGCTGGTGCTTCGAAATCTATGCCCAGCAGTTGGAATTCTCAGCTTCATTTTGTTTGGGACCTCATTCTTGCATATTTCATCGCACAAACCAAGACAAGCAAGGGTGTGGATACGGAGCAATTCAAGCTCTTCTGGGGTACTGTCGTTGATGGTAAGTGATACAGCCTGGATTGCGATTTGCAAGACTGACCAATATCAGATGGACTATTCTCCAAGAATGCGACAGAAGGACAAAAATACCGAGGTTTCCTGATCTTTCAAAGATTCCTCGGAGGCCTTGCCTCTATCAAAGATAGCACACTTGTCAAGGAAATGTTCTCGAGAAATCTCATGAAATGCTTATTGAACCAAGCAGCAAAAGAGGATCGCTATCTTCATCTCGCAGCCAACAAATCGCTCAAGACGGTTGAAGATGTGGTGGCCGCCGAACCTGCTTTCCTCTTGCCCGTTCTCACACAGCTTCTCGGCAAACATGGTGCCTATGACTTTGACCTGAGAGCAAAGGCCAAAACAATTGAAAGACTGCTTCAAGCCTCCTTTACCGAGGACGTCGATGCGATTTTCGAATTACTTCAGAAGCCAGTCATCAAGATCAAGGATGGCGACGTTGCCGAGGTCGAGAAGCTTCGACGTGTATACGCTGACTATCTGGTCAAGATTTGTACTTCAGACAAGGTCCATGACGACGATAAGACAGAAGTCAGAGGTAGCATTTTGGAGACCGCAGTCAAGCAATTGACCAGTTACGCCTACTCCAAGAAAGACACCTCATTTAGCCCTGAGCTGTCTACCAAGACGAGAGAGTATTTCCGCAGCAGACTCGAGTCTGCCTTTGCAAAACTTACAAGACGCCAAGAAGACTACAGCTATCTATGCAATGCAGTGCTAGCTATCGACGCGTCGGCTGTGCAGATGAGCGAAGAGATTGAAGCCGAGCGAAAGGCTGCAGTCAAGACTCTCAAGAAACTGGTCAAGGCGTCCACCAAGGCAGGCAAAGGCAGCGGGTCGTCTCTTGGTCTCGCACTGCTGTATGCTATCACCATTTTGCAGCTATACAACGGCGACGGCGATGCCCTCAACACCTTGGAGGACCTGAAGCAATGCTCAGAGAAGATGGACGAAGCCGATAATGACGCTTCGGCTCTTCTCGTGGAAATCCTGTTGTCCTTGGTGTCGAGGCCTTCTCCCATGATGCGTCAGATCACCCAACAAGTCTTCGAATCGTATACGTCTCAACTTACGGAAGATGCTCTTGGTCGTCTAACAGATCCACTGATGGCCGAAGAGAATATCAAGGGACAGCAGGCACTATTCGACGCCGAGGATGAGGAGATGTTGGATGTCGCGGAGGGATCTGACGGCAGCGATAATGAGGAGGACGACGTGGAGGAAGACGAGATTTCAGAGATCGGCTCCGATGTGGAATTCGTCACCCTGAACGGTGCCGCCCCGGAAGACGAGGAGGAAAGTGACGAGGAAGCCGAGGACGGTGATGCTCAAGCATATGCCGACCTGGATGCCAAGCTTGAAGAGATTCTGGGCAGTCACCGTCTTGATAAAGACAAGGACGCAGACTCGGATGACGAATCAGATTTGTCAGATTCGGAAATGATGGAGTTTGACCAGAAGCTGGCAGAAGTTTTCAAGCAAAGAGTGCAGAAACCAAACAAGAAGAAGGAGAATCAGGATGCCAAGGAGACCATGGTCATTTTCAAGCACCGGATATTGGACTTTCTCGACATTTACGTCAAGAAAGAGGCTCAGAACCCTCTGGCATTTGGTCTGCTTCTGCCCCTGCTGCAGCTGATCCGCACCACTTCGACCAAGGAAATCGGCAACAAGGCCGCCAAGGTCATTGGCGATCTCTCCGATGCCGTCAAGAAGCAAAAGACCAAGACTGGCGGCTCAGCGGAGCTTTTGCAACAGGTTCTCCAGGAGGCCAGCAAAGATTCGTCACACGCCTACGCCCGTGCCGTCTCTGCGAGCAGTCTGTTATTGGCGAGCTCCATCAACGATGTCGAAAAGGTCATGGATGTGTACTACGCCAGCCTCAAGGACTGGGCACTGCGTGGTGCTACTGTACAGACGAGTCTGTTTTCCGACTGGCTGAACTGGCTGCAAGCTCACCGCAAGACAGCATAGATGCAGGTATTGGGTATTTTTCGCGGGTTGACTTGGCAATATAGACCGACGGTAATAAAAAGATTTTGTACGTGAAATGGCCTTTTCAATTATTATACAATCAAAATGGGAAAACGATTCTACCACAATTGTGATTCATTGAATGCTTGGTATGTTGCTTATATATTGCAGAAAGAATATGTACAGTCGAATGTCCTCTCATCTACCACCCTCTCTCTCTTTTCATCGCCAATAATCATACATGATGCTTACATTACCCCATGAGATTTAAACGCACTGGGAGTAGTAATCGTTCATTACACTAAATTCCGATCAAATTAGTATCTTGTTCATAAATCGACATTTTGTGAAAATGTAGGATGGTTTGGGGTTCAACTTACGTGCAGGTACCCGAAGCGCAGGTGGTGCTTCCCGAGTAGTTGATGCCACCACACTGGCCGTAGAGGGCCACGGATCCAGACGACGATCCGGAGGAGGCCTGGCTCGACGCGGCCGCCTTGGACGACGAGGTTGCGGCGTGGGTAGCGGCGCCAGAAGAGGCCGGGATGGTGCGAGTGACAAAGGTGGAGGAGGCGGCAGCGGCGCTGGAAGAAGGAGTGTCCTCGCCGTCGTCGGCATCGCAAGAGTCGTCGTCCTCATCGTCATCGCCCTCGTCATCACCCGAGGCAGCGGCGCTCGAGGTGGCGGGAGCAGCGCTCGAGACGGGGGTCGAAGTCTTGGCGGCCGAGGAGGACGAGGCCGAAGTCACGGCGGCAGCGGCGGCGGAAACCGACGTCGAAGATGCCGTGGCAGCAGCGCTGGTCGCCGACGCGGCGACAGAGGTGGCAGCTGCGGAAGAGGCGGCCGAGGTGGCGGGGCTGGAACCGCCGCAGACGGCCACGTCGCCACCGGGTGCCGTGTACGTAGTCGGGTCGAAGCCGTTGTAGACGTCGGGGATGTAGATGTCGTCATCCTCGGCGTTGTAAGCACCGGGGAGAGAGATGGTGGGCGTGCAGGAGCCGGATCCGGTTCCGGTAATGGTCAGCTGGGCGCAGCCAATGTAGAACTGGGCACCGCCGACGGTCTGGGCGCCGTGAAGAGCCAACATCTCGGAGCGGAGCTATAGAATTTCCCGTTAGTGAGTCTTGTCATACAACTGTATACTCGGCAGCCACAAACTCACCAGGTAGTCACCGCTCTGCAGACCGGTGGGCAGGCTAAAGGTGTAGTTTCCACCATTGTCCGAGAGGTACTCATTGGCCCACTCGCCGTCGACGTAGTCGCGCTCGTCAATCTTGAACCAGCCGGCGCCGATACCAGTAGCCTGGGCGGCGTCGTCAACGGGACCAAACAGGAAGTGGGTGATGGGACCCGGGTGGGACGAGATGTCCCAGTTGACGGTGATGCTGTCGCCCTCGTTGGCGGCAACGGTGTCGACGCCCGAGGGAACGTCGGAGCCGTTCACGTTGCAGGCAATGTCATTGCTGGTGACATCAGTCTGTAATGTCCTTGTCAGCCCCCTGGTCCTGTGGTAGGGAAAGTAGACTTTTGAATCAACAAACTTACGACGGGGCTGTTGGAGGGTGGCATACGGATGCCGACCTGGTAACCAGGAGTCACATCGTTGACCCAGAACTGGTGAAAGTTTTGGTGAGCCGATGCGGCGGCCACCAGGGAGAGAGCGAGAATCTTGTGGAACATTTTTGCAACAAACAAGAAGATAAAATGCGACAACCGGATCGCAGGAGTATTTTGGTAAGAAATGAATGAATGAAATGAACCCCGGGTCCGTAAGTTTTTGGGAAAAAAAAGAAAGAAAAGAGAGACAAAGTTGTCAAGCTTGAATGAATGCTGAATTACCAAAAGTCAAGAGGAGCCAAGATACAAACTCGTGGGCGGCGGCTGTCCCTTATAAGAAGCCATCATCAACCCAGACGCAGCTCCACTTTTGACTTGGATTATAGAGTAAAAGGGGATTCGAGGACCCCATGCTACCAGCCAAGCAAGCTTTTTCCACGAATGGCTGGAATGCACAATGGTCCGTTGAGAAGAGATTGCGGGCGTCGTCGATTGATTGAGGCTCTGCCACCATCTCGGCGGTTGTACCGAAAGTTATGGGGACCTCGGAGGATCCATTGCTGCCCAGATTGGGAGAAACGAAGCGTGGCCATTGGCTCGTGGCCGGTAAGCGACCCTCCTGAAACTGGGCCAGGAGCTGGCCGACAGGGTCTAAACACTATATGCGATGAGCTTGGCACTCCCCCCATCTCCACCATGGGAATTTCGTGTTGATTTGGTCATCGGCGATAAATCAATCAACTTTCTATTGTTCAATGCTTGACGTAGTGGGCAGCAACTCTTGAGTCTTTACCAGTGATGCAATGTACAAACTGCAGTTGGAAGGAAGGGATCGTGAGTATCTGTCGAGTCGGTGGCTACATGTCATGATGTCGGGTTGCCGTGTTTGCAAGGTACTGTGTAGAGAACCGGAAAAAAGAATGAACCCCCGGAGCTGCAGATCTACAGTTTCGAAACATTGCTCGAATCCGCTTTCATCCCTTTGCTGATGATGTTTTTTCCTTTCTCCCTCTCGGGCGGATAAGAGTGGGGTCGCAACGTGCAAAAACGTTGGACGACTGTTTCTTTCGGGTCAATCAGCCGAATTGTTCTAGAAAATACTTCTTCGAGAGCCTTACATTGGCAAAATTTGGCCTTTGATATGCAAATGAGATGCAACGGTTGTGAAAAAAAAGTTTTGTCAAATACAGAAACGCTTGTCGTCATGTTAGAATTCACAGCTTAATCTGCTCTATGCGTCATTGGGTGCTGGTCCTCTGATCTTGCCAGCAACTACATGTGCAGCTTGTCATTTAAACTGGAGTCTTCCGTTGCATCGATACTACCATGGTGATATTTGAGTGAGCCATACATAATAATACTGAATTTGATCGTTCGCCAACTTATACCCCTGAGTATTAGTCAGTAAGCATACCTGAGCTTGGGGCAGAATGGGAACCGAGTTCGAAATGATCCATACAATCTGCAAAGTCCAATCACCTGGCAGGACTTAGGGGTATAGAAAGTGATATGAGCGCAGAAAGCGGTATTCGGGTGAATGTATTTGTTGCTCTTGAAACCGATGATTGGCGCAGCATTGATGTAGCATGGTCCCTAGTAAGATGGAAAAGACATTCATCCATGTTTGCAAATCAAGATTTCAGTCTTAATAATCCAGGAATCGAAACGTGAGCGACATCTGTGATCTCTGTTGCAAAAGATACCATGTCTACAATGATGAGTATAGCAGGAATGAATGACATGGCCGCACACGTGTCAATGGCTTTTCATCATGTGGCCTAAGTCTCAAGAGGCTCTGATGTCCGTGGTCCACGGCACATCATGCAGGCCTCGAGAATGAAAACCTCAAATATCGGAATAGAAAGAAATTCCATCAACGGTCCTGGGATTGGGTCATGACCTTAAACTGAATGCTAGGTTAGGCTAGTGGGAGTGGGCGGCAGACTTGTTGACCACTCAAAGGAATATTTTTGCCCGTTTGTTCCGCGAAGTTCTGTGGTTCAAGACTGACAGTAGTTCTCTTGTTTTTGTCTTTCCGACCCAACCCCAATCGTATCATCTTTGCGGTTGGTGTTGTTACCCGCTGCACCTTGTCTTGACTTGATTCTGCGGGTGCTTGGACTGTGACACAATCTCATCTTTACTTCTTTCTTTTCGCCATCGATACTGAGCATGCTCCCGGCTGATTTCTGCAGTAAGGTGCCTCAGGGTCTCCCAGCAACGCCTTGGCAGAAGAATGTGAGTGTTCGTACCATAGCAACACGTTGCGCCGAGTTTACCACATACTATGTGCGACATGTTGGGCGAGTGAGCCGGTGTGGGTGTTGACTCATCACCTTGGTGCAGGACAATCCAGCTTGGCCTGCTCGTTGGTGCCTTTCTCTCCAAATATCAAGCAAGACAGTCACAAGACGCAAAAGCGATTGAACCCTGGCATACGTGAGGGCAACATATCGTATGGAATGACTCATTGCGTCCCGACGCTACAGAATGGCTCTCAAAATGGGATTTCATCTATGGCAGCATACCAATCCCTCATTCAATGCTTCGCCGTATAGTACAAGCGCACAACGCTAGGCCTGATATTTTGGCATTACCTGATTGACATCTACTCTTCCATCTTGTCATCCTCCTTCTTATCGTCCTCATCGTCATCGCCCTCGAGAGCCTTCTTTGCTAACCTCTCGGCCTCCTCCTTGAGCTCCTTGGGCACCTCCTCGTGCCGTCCCTTGGTGGGGCCGCTAGCATTGCTAATCCAGGTCATCTCGAGCTCAAACTCCTTATCCTTGTTGTCTTGCTGTGCAACATAGATGATGCGCGCGGCCTCCTTGACTGCTTCCTTGAGATCCAGTGTGCCCGACGCCAGGTCGAGCTTCTCGAGCTCTGCCTTTGCTGCCTGGCGGCCCTTGCCCGCAGCGGCACCGTAGTAGCCCCAGTAGAGACCACTTGGCTCGACCATGTAGAGACCGGGACCGCCGTGCTTGCCCTCGACTTTGCCACCAGCGCCGCTCAAGGGACCGCTGCCCACCTCGCCATCTACGGGTTGCTCGAGCTCGGAATCGAAGCCACCAATGATAGCTGTGATACCAAATGGTCGCACAGATTGGTAGAGAGTGTGTGCCTGGAGGTATCCGCCCATGCGCGAGGCGAGATCGGATGTCGATATCGGTGTCTTGAAGGTATCGCGCCACGAGCGGGCCTCATCTCTGGCTCGGTCTACAAAGTGTCGGCCATCGGGGATCATGCCCGAGGAGACCTGTAGGGAATCAGGGTCAGAATATGTCATTTAAACGGAAGTTGGGTAGGAAGGTGCAACATACGACTCCTAGATGCTTGTCGACCGTGGCAATTCTCTTGTTGGAACCGGGCTTCAGTAGCTTGGATGTGATGACCTTCTCGACTGCTAGAACAACACCATCCTTGGCGCGGATACCAATGGAGGTACCGCCATTCTCTACTGCCTTTACTGCGTACTCGACCTGAAAGTTGCGACCATCAGGCGAGAAGATGGAGTTGGCGAGATCGTATCCCGTTCCTATTGACGTCTGCCGGGTGGAGAGAGATGTGAGCTAGCTGCAATGGCCATAGCTTTGGGGGACATGAGGTTCGATCTTACCATTGTGGATTATTGCGAGGACGGGGATCTGAGTTGGGATACGCTGGTGATTGTGTCTATGAAAGTGACGAAATGCGAAAGGCGATGATGTTCTGAAAGCTGGAGGAAGGCTGGCTGTCTAGGCTGGCTGGGGTTCGATTGACGTTTGTGAGCTTCAGGCAACATGAGAGCTGCGCGTTGCTAGCTTCGGGTCCTAGTGGCAGGGCAGGTAGTAGGTAAGCTGCTGCTGGCCTGTTCCGTGCACTTCCCCAGTCGCTTAGGTTGGATAAGGCTGCCTGCGCCACACATGGTTGTGGCTTGACCAAGCTCTCAGGGTGTCTAGGTGCGGTACCATCCATCGTACCCACAATCTCTCATGCACTGCATATCTATCCCATTATGGTGTGCATTCATTCATCGTTGTGGCCTGGCTACGAATCCTATGTCCTGAACGGGCTTTTGGGCAAGTTGACAAATGGAAAGACGTAGACCTGGACTGATATTTTGAGTCAAGTGACATTAAGTGGCAACAAATTATTCCAGTAGCAAGTTTTTGAGCTTGGTTTGTTTTGGGAGCACACATTCAATTTGATCGTCATTTCCCTATCAAACCACGACAATGTCATGTTGTGGCGCCTGGAAATGGGTTCGCAGCCCCCAACATGTATAGCCGGCAGTCTAAATACGGCGAGCATCCAAGACGATCATTTTTGCTTGACTGGCGGACTCGACTCCTCGTGGCTGCCATCTGTAAGCCTGTAACTGAGGTATGCTGAGCCTTGAAAACCCTCAAATTCCCATTGGAGCCTGGCACGAGTTAATGGAAAGATAGATCATATGCATGGACGTATCTTTGTCCAAAAATAACGACTGCTGGTACCGATCAGCTCAATACTTGAATGTCTGCCTCAGTCATTCGGTACATAGTAATGTAGTACTGGAGTATGCACCCTAATTGCAAATTTTGATCAGCACCTACAAGCTACCAGCCACAGAGGTACTTTCCTTTCTGTTTCGACGTGCCCTTGCGTACCATGTAGAATGGATGTATTACTTTTGATTATGAAATGTCCCAACAACCACTAGTACGACTTAACCAATGTAGGAAATTCTACTTGCCAATTTCAGGTGACTAGCAACATATGGAATCGCTGTAGGCTGAAATCCAAGCGGTTTCGATCCAGGTTTTGGCCAGTAGCAGTCGTCTGGTCTGAGTAGCAGCACTGAAAGAAACTGAATTTGAAGGAAGGCACACTGCAAATGCTTTCTTTCCAATTTTCACAGACTTGGCATCTACCTAGCTGCAGGTAGGCCCGATCTGCCTCATTGACCAGGTAAACACGCCATCTACTGCCGTACTTGGGCAGATGCCACAAGCAGACATACTTTTGTCGTGTTGGTCTGCGCGGACTCTTTTTCGTCTCCGATTCCACCTACAGGGCGCAGAACTTCCCCTACCCTAGCCTGCCGACAAAGACCAGCACGTTGCCTCTTGGCTAGATCCTTTGCTCCAGAATCGTTTGTATTTCAACAAGTGTATACCACCATCACTATGCGTTACGAAGACTGGGATGTCTTGCTCTTCCCCAAGGACTCCAAGGTCCCCATAAAGGAATTCAAGACGCAGTGCCATGTAGTACACGATAGTGGTCAGTGTCCCGTCACAGACACAACTTTCTCCCATCAAAGCTGACATGTCGAGCCAGATTTTGCTTACACCCATGGGAGCTACGGCCTTCCCACAATGACTTGCTTCATACCTGGACTCGACTGCGGAAAGTCCTTCAGCATCTCACTGCACTCCTGGAGCGAACTCCAGACCAGTAACTTCACCAAGACCAACTTCAACAACCACGCCCAACTTGTCGTTTTCGAAGCTCGTATTTTCATCGATGGACGTTTGGTTGCGTAGGTTCCCCAAAAGCCCACCACACCGCATGAATCTTGTTGACATGCTGCTGCATGCAGATCGGCGCCCTTCAAGCGTGACACGGCTTGGCCCCAGCTCATCAGTTTCGGTTTCGACTTCAATAGATACGGCGAGCTAGAGAATCTCAAGTTCCCGTCGTTCCGGAGCGAGCTGTTGCGACAGGACTATTGGAGTCCCGCCGATGAAATGGGCCGCATCAAGATTATCATCAGTGAAGGGTTCCCTCGCGACTCAGTCACCATTCCTATTGAGCGTGTCAAGAACCTCGTCGCATTCTCTTTCCAGCATGCCCCCATCGGTACAACACCCCTTATTTGAGATCACCTTCTAAGATGGCGGTGGCAGCTAGCTAACTTCAAGAAGATATTCTCGAGGCTTCGGGTATTGCATGGCCCAACCCTTCCATGTGGCGACGCGGACCCATGAATCCAACCATGCCAGTTCCGACTGAGTTTTCTGCTGACGGCTGCGATTCTCACGTCCACTCTCCGCGCAGACGATCGACTCAGGTATCACATGCCTCAAGGAACAATGCCAGCATCAGCTTCTTGGGCTCAATGCCGAATACCCAGGCGTTCCTTCAGAATCCGCCTTATGGTGGACGCCCCAATGCAGGAGACCCAACGTCTCTGTCCGATATCGACTGGGCAAGTGGTAGTCTGGTGTCTTCGGGATTTGCGACAACGCTGACGAGCTCTCTACTCAATCAGCCCATGCCTGCCCCATGCAAGTCCAACACTTCCAGCTCGCCACCCAGTTCGCGAACTTTCTCTGGAGTGTTCTCAAGCCGCTCCGGGTCAAATAGTGATGACCTTGGTATAAATCTGGCCAGTGTCAACCCAGCCGCTACTCTTATCAACAACAACGAGAGCAGCGGCGAAAAGGTAGTCAAACGCAGTCGACATGCCACGCCTGCAAGCACCGGTGCACCGGAAGAAGAAGAGCCCAGACGATCGACACCTCGAGTTCGGATCGGGTTTGGGGAGAATATGGCCAGCTAAGGGCCAACTTACCTGGAATTGACGGCTCCAAAAGTGTTGATTGCGTAGTTCAAACATTTATTCTAGTTGGAAGTTGTGCACAGCATGTGAGGCAATAGCTCTCACACCGCGAGTTGAGTTATACGTACCGGCCATAATGATGCCGATGTCTTATTTTGGAACGCAGGGCCTTTTACTCATCAATATCATGATGATGCATTGGTAGTATCTTCCGGAAGTGGTAGGACATCAATGTCTTGGTCGTGGTGGTAGCAGTTATTAGTTATCCTGTGATAGTGATAGAATGGGGCTAGGTATTTGAATTCAATGGGTTTACACACAATGCGTCAAGTATTCAGTGCATTTGATCGCTCCCAGTAAGAGCTTCACTTGGCTTCGCTCCTGATCTTGGATGCAAATACACGTTTTGTGCATTCAAAAAGACATTGCAACACATAGTCCCAGTGTTCAAGATACGCAATGCGAAAATGGACGTCAAATTCGCTTTGCGGCAAGGCAAAAGCGATTTCTTTTTTTGAAAAAAGAAAAGAAAAATATACTGTCAACGTCCCTCATGCTGATATTTGGGATAATTTTGCTGTCATGTGTATTCAGAAGAAAGGGTGCATCTAATAATCATCGGGACAGAGTAGATTAATGTCTTAACCACTGAGCTAAGAAACCAATCGATGAATGTTGGTGAAATCATTCCTTCTTTGGCTGAACTTCTTCATTTTGGTATTTCTGGAAATCAAGAAGCAGGTGCACCACTGGAGTCTCGTTCTTTCCTCGGAACATGCTAGGCCAGACTCGGTCGTCCGTAAACATTCAAGAGATCTACAACCTTGAAGCAATTCGTTCAAGGCGAGACCCTAAAGTTAGCACAGTGAACCGACAACAAGCCTCCTATCTCTTTATCACCACCGGTACCGAGTTTCATGGGATTGAAACAGTGTTGTGTCTCAAAGAATAGAGTGTCGCTTGTGCTCGTTCTGCGCCGGCTCCAGCCCAACGAAGGAACTCATTTGAATTAGATGTGCAGCTTGCTTCAAATTCAGTCCCATTCACGTTACTATGAGGAAAAGGGGCTGTAGACAATTAGAAGTAAGGACCAAAAAGTGATGCATTTGGTGGACAGAGACTAAGACAGACATTGGGCCAACCCTCGCGATACACACGACAGTCATCCAGATGCTGGTACGAGGAAAAATGGTCCGCAGTACTCTATAATGATACCTAGTATAGTAAAGCACCCTGTATACTATCACCTACGCATACACACGACCTCCTGCCATATCGTTGTCTCGTCCTTCCTCCCGATCATGTGCACTGTGTAATTCCCTCACAACATTCTCCCATTTGTTCGATCGTGCGTCGCGCAAGACAAAGTCGTAGAGCCTCTGATTTGCAAGTAGCTGTTCCATCAGTTTCCCCAAGACATCTTCAGGACCATTCCGTACGGTGGCTCGAAGGGTATCAGTATACAGTTCGCCTCCTTTTGGCTCATCAATAATCCTGTCCATGATTAACGCAAAACTCTTCTGGTGGCCTGAAGAAAGCGCTGCACGGAGGGCTCGACGATAATATTCTCCACGGTCCAAAGGTCGAGAGATTTGGCATGCCTTGACGAATTGGCGCTTAGTCTCAGCTGCGCCATTTCGTGTGCTATAGACATTATTGATATAATAGCTGATGTTGGATTCATTCGGCCTGGGTTCTCTTTCAAGCAACATTTCCACAATATCATCGTGGCCTCTGGCGCAAGCAATCTCAAGGACGTTACTTTCGTATGTAGACTGCTTTTCCATAATTGCCCCCTTCTCTAAAAGCAGTCGTACAACACAGAGACGGTCGCTATTCATCGCTGCCTGAAGAGCATTACCGAAGAGCCCAATGCTATTTTGTGCCATTCCGTAATCAAATAGAAACCGCACAATATCGATATCACCGAAACCCGAAGCAGCAGCAAGTGCTTCGCTTTGTACGTCAGCTCCGTGCTCGAGCACAAGCCGCATGATATCGATATCACCACGACCCGAAGCAGCAATAAGTGCTTCGCTTTGTATATCAGCTCCGTGCTCGAGCAGAAGCCGCATAATATCGATATCACCACGACCCGAAGCAGCAGTAAGTGCTTCGCTTTGTATATCAGCTCCGTAC